TTTGGGCCAAGAACGGCCCAGGACGGGCCAAGAGGCTCCAGCGATCGCCCCACGACGGTCCAAGATGCCCCAAAGACGGCCCTAAGACGGCACAAGAGGACCCCAAGACGGCCCAAGAGGACCCCAAGATGGCCCCAAGAGAGCCCCAACAGGCCCCCGAAAGGACGGCCAAAACACCATGACTCCCAAGTGTGAACGGTGCCATGAGCCATCTTGGGCTAGTTGTTGTTATGCTGCTGCTGCTGCTGCTGCTGATGATGATGATGATGATTATGATGATGATGTTGTTGATGATGATGGTGATGTTGATGATGATGATGATGATGATGATGATGATGATGATGATGGTGGTGGTGGTGATGATGATGATGATGCTGGTGCTGATGCTGATGCTGATGCTGATGATGATGATGATGATGATGATGATGATGATGATGATGATGATGATGATGGTGATGGTGATGATGATGATGATGGTGGTGGTGGTGGTGGTGGTGGTGGTGATGATGATGGTGGTGGTGATGATGATGATCCTCGTTGTAAACCTCGTCGGGTAGCAGGAGGTGGGCAGGGGGCACAAGACAGCCCCTTGGTGTAGGGACTGGGCTGCCCGGATGTCTGAACTGTGCTGCAGTCCGCCGTGGGTGTAGGGATTGGGTTGCCCCGCAGGGTGAACGTAGGAATTGGACTGCTTCCTTCGGGCCTCCTTGATTTATCCTGGGGATAACGTAAAAAGTTCTGGATACCAAGGCTCCCAAGAGCAAACGGTGACGTAGAAAGCTCGGAAAACGACGGATCCGAAGAGCGAACGGGGCCACGAATGAATTCAGGGCAGTTCCTCAGTCCGCTCTTTCCGCCCCCCTGCCAGCCCAGGTGACCGAAAGAGCGACCATGCGAGGGACGACGTCTTAGTGAGGCAAAGCCAAACGCCCCGAACCGGTCTTTCCTTTGCTAATGGAAGAGCTCACATGGAAAATCGGATTTCTAGAGGGACGTAGGTATGGGCTGACAAGGGAGATGCAGACGCCGGTGTGCAGGGCATCCCCGCGTAAAAATATTATCTGAGGGATTTACACAGTGGTTTACATGGAAGTTCTGAACATAACAGTTCTCAAAGCCCTCTAGACATCAGCTTACACGGAACTCGCACAGCGAGTCTCGAAACCCCAAGCTCTGTTATAACGGTTTGGAGGGCGCCTTAACATCATTTGAAGACTACAAGTTTACATACTTATTTCTTGATCTGCAGCCCTACATTCGCATACTTGTAAAACAGTTAGTTATCGTTCATGTTGCTATGATCACGTACGAACATACATACGTGCATACATGCGCACGTAGTGCGCATACACACACTTACATACATAAACACTGTTCTACCTTGAGGCGTACAAGTTTACATACAGCAGCATGCATACCGACCTACATACATACATACCTATGTAACATACATATCAGCACACATGCATACACAATTTCACAAAGACAAACATGTGCACACATACATATATAGTTGCTGGCTTGGTTTTTGTTGGGTTGACACAATCAACTCTTCAAATCAAGGTTCTCAGTACGGACGGTGGTGTCAGCCCTGTGGCCCCAAGACGGCACAATGACGGAGACGGCTGTGACACCAAGATTCCCGCCCTCAGACGGCCTTGTGACGGACGCAGCTTTGGCGCCAAGGTTCCCAAGAGCTCCAGGTGACGGGAAATGCATGTGAAGCGAGTCGGTGGCGGAACAAGTTCTTCACACCAAGGTTCGCAAGAGCGATAGGTGATGTAACAGATTCTCTTACCGTCAAGGCTGCCAGGAGAGAACGGCAGTGTGCAAAAGCGCTGCACCCCAACGCTGCCCAAGCGGGCAGTACCATAACTTTCTCAGGCAAATTGGTGCGCTCTGTCCGTTTCCGTGGTGGCCCAGCTTCTAACACGCCCACATCGTGCAGGCACGGTGGCGGACCATTGGACGAAGCACGGCATACGATAGCATGATCCGCCGTCGGGGGCGCTAGTCCCAAGGCGGTTGGAAAGTTTCCACTCCTGCGGTGGCTCGTCGGGGTGTAGACTTTCCGGCCGCCCTGTGACAGGCGTTCTCGATGGCGGTGGAGCTTGATTCATACCGTTTTCCGTCAACTAATTTGCATCGGGCGTTTGTGCCGAAAGCTTATGTCTTGGCTCGCCCGGCATCGGACGACGTGCGGCCCCACAGCCAAGTCTGTTCACAGGGTGCCTCCTTCTTCATCCCAGATCCATGCTTGATGGCCCGTGGGGCCCGAAAGACGGACCCTGGAGGCCACGATGAAGGAAAAACGCTGGGAAGGAAAAGGTTCCGTACTCTTTAGATTTCTGCGAAGATTTCTTCAAGACTCCAGAATTCCCTAAGGCATCTGGAAGAAGGCCCAGGGAGGCCCTGGACGAGGCCACAACGTCCCAAAATCCTTGCTCCCCGGGGCGGAGGAGGAGACGGTGAAGGATTTGTCGCATGGTGTTGCAGAAGATCGATGGCAGGGGGAGGAGGCTCTCCAGGTGCTCCAGGTTAAAGGTCACGCCACACGCGCTGCTGTCGTGGCCGGCTGGGTCGAGCCTTCCCAAAAAGGGGGCAACGATCTAGCCGCTGAGTCATGATGAGTATGCCAAGCAAGCGTCGGAAGAGTCTCGCCTCGCTCCAGAGCTCAGGATTCAGCTCGAGGGGAAGGTTCCCGTTCTTCGTGAGTGTGTCTCCTGGGCGGCTACGGACGGCCCCGCCACGGTCGCGGCCGACGCCCTCCATCTCCCGATCGGCAGGCGAGTCGCGACTCCTCACGTGACTCGCCTGATTGCTCTGCCGCCTCCGACGACGGGCACGCCCGGGTCGTTGCCTCACGCTGACCTCGCTTGCAGTCGCGTAGCGCTTGCGGGAAGGCGGTCACGTGTTGTGCATCCCCATCGCCTGGCTGAGAGCCGAGCGTGGTGTGTCGCCTGCGCAGTTTGTGGCGCTGCGGGCTCTGGTGCTGTCGCTGCTCTCGTCTTCCCCTTGCGCCGGCAGGCCCGCTCCCAACTCCTGGGGAGCGCGCGTGCGTTGGCAAGTCTGCCGTGGCGAGCTCGAGATCTCGTGCGTGCAGGGGAGACCGGTCTCCTCAGTCTTGCGCTGCCTGCCAGCAGCGCGTCTGGCGACAGCGGCGCGGTGAGCTCTCCCGCCCCAGGTGCGCCGGACGCTTTCTCCGGCGAGGCGGCGGCACGCCCAGCTGCATGACATGAGTTCGCAGGCAGTATGCGGGCCCCGCACGCCCTGCAAAGCTGGCTGGGATAGAACCTGAGCCCAAACGCAGTGCTGCGTCCTTGATGATGGTGACGGTGATGGCGATGATGATGGTGATGATGATGATGATGATGACGATGATGATGATGATGATGATGATGATGAGAATGATGATGATGATGATGATGATGATGATGATGATGATGATGATGATGATGGTCATGGTGAGGATGAGGAGGAGGAGGAGGAGGATGAGGATGAGGAGGAGGAGGATGAGGATGAGGATGAGGATGATGATGCTGATGATTCTCATGCTAATTATGATGCTGATGCTGATGATGATGATGATGCTGCTGATGATGCTGATGATGGTGGTGGTGATGATGATGATGATGCTGATGATGATGATGACGATATTGACGATGATGATGATGACGACGATGATGTTTAGGATTATGATTATGATGATGGTAGTGGTGATGATAATAATGATGATGTTGATGCTGCTGATGCTGTTGGTGATGATGAGATGAGATTATGGTGATGATGATGATGATGATGAGGAGGAGGAGGAGGAGGAGCAGGAGGAGGAGCAGGAGGAGTAGGAATCGTTTCAGCGTAGCAGATAGGGAGGAGGGGGAGGAGGGGGAGGAGGAGGAGGAGGAGGAGGAGGAGGAGGAGGAGGAGGAGGAGGAGTAGGAGGAGGAGGAGGAAGAGGAGGAGGGGGGCGGGGACAAGCTAGGTGCGCTCGCGTCATATCTGACATCCTACCCCTCCCTCCCATCCCTTACCATGGCGCAGATCCCCTCTCTACTCGCACAGTCGGATGTCGAGCAGGGCAATGATCCCGAAAGGGTACGAGATGCATTGTAGAGCACGGCATGGCATGGCGTAGAAGAGCACCGCAAAGCGTAGCATCAACCTAGCATTGCATTGCATGCCGTGGCATGGCACGGGAAATGACGCCAGCGCTGCAGCGGGAGCACGAGTCGTAACGAGCGGAAGCGCGGAAATGAGGCCAGCGCTGCAGCGGGAGCACGACTCGGAACGAGCGGAAGCACGGAAATGAGGCCAGCGCTGCAGCGGGAGCACGATTCGGAACGAGCGGGGCCCGAAAATTAGGCCGGCGCCCCAGCGAGAGCAGCATTTTGGAAAAATGTAGGCGAAAACCCAACTCAGGGGAAACTTGTGTGTAAAAAACAGTACGCGGGGGGGGAGGTCGGACACTTTCAGGCCGTCATCAGGGGAAGAGGGAGAGTAGTATTCATATTGATAAATTGTGGAGGAGGAGGAGGAGGAGGAGGAGGAGGAGGAGGAGGAGGAGGAACAAGAAAATCGTTCGAAATCAGGGCCCCTGGCCGATCCAACAGCGTGGCGTGCAGTAGGCACGTCGACTCTGAGACACCAATCTGCCAGCGGGTACCCCGCGGAAGCTTCGCATCCCCCTTGGCGCCCATGGCACCCACAGAGGGCTTGGAAGCTGGAAACCGAAGCAATCATTTGCAGATGAATGTGCCCTCCATTCCCAGACCCCTGGCGTCATATTTTTTTCATAACGTCGACTCCTAGAGGTCTGGACCCATTCCCAGGGACCAGTTTAGCGTCCTGAGTCGTTTTTTGACAGTCCCGAAGCCCAGTGGGGGCCCCCAGAGGCCGAAAAGAGCGAGACAACTTCTTTCACAACGCGAGGGGGTCTGGGCTTCTCATCGCAAGACTTCGGATCGTGTGCACCACCTGCGCGCATCGAGCCCCGCCCGAAGGCGCGGCGACCTCCGGGGCGCGCTCCGCCTGTGCGCGGAGGCCGGCCAGCCGTGGCGCACGGCGCTGCTGCAGGGCATGCTGCCTTTTGCGTGCGGAGAGGACCCCCGCCGCGACGGCGACGGCCACCTCCCGACATCCTCGCGTCGCGAAGGTCGAAGAAGAAAAAACGCCGTAAGTATAAACTGTTGGCCTCCGCGCGGATTTCTTGGATCTGCGCTGGGCCCACCTGGCGGCGCCTCCGGCGCCGCCCCTGGCGCGCTCCGAGCGCCAGTGGGGTGGGGGTCCAGCGCAGATCCAAGAAATCCGCGCGGAGCGCCAAAAGTTTATGTTTATGGCGTTTTTTCCCAAGAGGAAGAGTCACGACCGCTTCTTCACGATCTTCGGGCCCCATGGGGGGCAATCGCTGGGCCCCAGGGGCCAAGACGTCGGGCCCCGGGGGCCAAGACGTCGGAGGTCTAGGGTCTGGGGAGGTCGTCGTGTTCGGTGTTCTGTTCTGCCGCCGGAGGGCTCCAGAGAGGCCTCCCGCGGACGACTGGCGACGACGACGACGTCAACGATGTCGTCATTCTTGATGTCTGGGAGGCGTTTCTGTGGGATTCGGGCGGCCGCGGCGTCGGCGACGGCTTCGGATGTGCGCTCCAGAAGGGGCCTCGCCTTCGCTGGGTGGCCGAGCGGCGGACGCCCCCCCCCGTCTTGCGGGGAGGTGGCTGCAGGCCCGCGGGGGGCGGCGGGCGCGAAGCGGGGGGCGGCGGGCGCAAAGCGGAGGCCAGCGGCATATGCGGGTCGGGGCTCGAGGGCTGGGGGTCAGTGCAATTCGGGGGTCAGTCAGGGCGCCGGATCTCGCAGGATCCTGCTGCAGGGCCAGGGGTGCACTGGCCCGGGCTTGGGCGCAGGATCCTGCAGGATCGTGCAGGATCCTGCAGCATCCTGCAGGGCCACGGGGTGCACTGACCAGCCTCGTGCGAGGGATCCTGCAGCATCTTGCAGGATCCTGGGTCTGGACTGGCCCGGGTCAGTGTGCCCCCGCGGCCGCCCGCTCTGCCGTCCTCCCCTCCTCTTGCATGATGGCCCATTCTCTAGAAACGGTGCCCACGTTGAGTCAGCGCTCCTTCCGTCAGCGCAGACGACCAGTCCCCGAGCGGGGCGGCAAAGCGAAACAGCGCGCTCGGAGCCGGGACTGCTGCCGCGGGCCGTCGCCCGTCGCCCCGTCGCCGTTCCGGGAGGCTCCCGCCGCCACGGCCGGGCGACTCTCGGGGAGCGAGCCGTGGTTTCTGCCCTCGGGCCCCGTGCTGCTGCGCATGCGTCGGGGGGGGGTCTCCAGGAGGGAGAGGGGAGGGCAAGGACGAGGGGGGGGGGATTGAAATGGGCTGCTGCCACAAGAACTGATCGCAGCAACTTATAGACACACTGAGCCCATGGCAGCTTCGGGGGCGGCCGCGCCTCCGGACCAAATGCCACTGTTTTGGCGCATGTTGTCCTGGGTGCACATACTAGGATTTAAGATGCTAAAGATCTGAGGTCGGGGGCTCACCCAGGACAAGGTAAATCATTATGCGATCTTACCGCTGCCCGTTATGCCTGGTGGGCGTTCTTCCCGCCAGCGGCGGGAGGACCGCTCCCGTTGCGCCTCCGCCGCCTGCCGCGCGCCGCTGGAGAGGACGAGACGGTCGGGTACGACAGCCCGCACGAGGAGCTGGCGAGCCGCGTTCTGTCCGCTTCCCTGGCGCTGGGCCCCCCCCCACCTTGGGCGCGGGCAGGAGACCTGTCTCTAGAGGCTGGGCCTCGCTGTCCGCGCCCCCGCCCGGCCCCGTCGGTGGAGGTCCGGGGGCCAAGACATCCGAGGATCTGATTCGCCAGTGCGCGGCCCCGAAGCTCCCGGCATCCGCCCCCCAGGGGGTCGGGGTGGCGTTCCCTCGCAGGCCCGTGTGCGATGGTCCCGGGGCCCGGAAACGGGCGCCAGAGGCCAACATCGCGGAGAAGCGCCAGGATGGACAGCAATCATCTCGGCGGGGTGAGGAGGAGGAGGAGGAGGGGGATGAGAAGAAGTGAGGGGAGGAGGAGGATGAGGAGGAGGAGGAGGAGTCAGGAGTGAGGAGTGAGGAGTGAGGAGGAGGATGAGGAGGAGGAGGAGGAGGAGGAGGAGGAGGAGGAGGGCAGCTGGACAGTCCGTCGATCGTTCCAGGAGGGCGACGCGGCGGCCCTGAGCCTGAAGGAGCGGCAGCCCGACTGGACGGAGGTCGGCGTGCTGGACACCGACTCCCCGAACAACGGCAACGAGTGGCGCCGGGTATGGAAGGAGCAGTGCTGGGATGCCGCGGACGCGGGGGCAGCCAAAGCCACAGCTCGAGAGAGATTCGCCCTCCCTTCTCCGCCTTCCTCCTCTTCTGCTCCTCCTCCTGCTCCTCCTCCTCCTCCTCGTCCTGCTCCTCCTGCTCCTCCTGCTCCCTCCCTCCCCCCCTCACTCGCCTCCTCCTCCTCCTCCTCCTCCTCCTCCTCCTCCTCCTCCTCCTCCTCCTCCTCCTCCCTCACTCCCTGGCCTCGCTCCCTCCCTCCCTCCCTCCCCCGCTCCGTCCTCCATCCTTCTCCCTTCTGAAGTCTTCCCCGGCCCCCTCGCGTCGTGCTGTACAGATCACGACGCCATGTGTCCCACTGATCTCGGCCACCAGGGGGCCTTTTTGCATGGTCCCCGGGCCAAAGACGGCTCGGGACGAGAAGCTGGTCGAGGGGAGGTGGTGCAGACCTCCATGGCTCCACGCTTCGGAACAGAACCGAAGCCGTGGTTTGGCGTCTCCTCCTCTCCCCAGAAAATATCACGATCATCGTGGCTTGACCGCCCTCAGGACCGGGGCCTGAGGCTGGGCGGCACGGCCATGGACGTGCACGAGCTGGCCATGTACGGGTTCTGCTCCGGCAACCAGGACGGCACCAGCCACTTCGATCTCGCCGCCGCTGCTGCTTCTCCATCCTCCTCGCCTGCCGTCTGTCTTCCATCTCCTGCCCCCCCCATCCCCTCAGCGGCGGGTCGAAAGCAGCGGGGCGAGGGGGGCGGCCAGTGGGGGGAAGGGCCAGAAGCCAGGAAGCGCTGGCAGCGGTTTGCGGCTCGAGCTGGGGCGACTGCGTCTTCGCGGAGCTGCACTGCCTCAAGGAGTGGCTCGCGGAGCGCCTCCTCAGCGAGGGCCGCCACGAGTTCTGCGCCGACGCCGACGCATTCTTGGGCGAGGCAGACGAGCCACAACTGGGGGGAGCCGTGGTCCTTACTCCCCCGAGGGGGACCATCGGCTTCCACCCCCCTCCCGATAAATCATCGAGAGACGATCCCCCTGGGGGAGGGGTAAGGCACGCGCAGACATGCGGCGTCTGCATGTTGTAAACCCAGATCCCCCTGGAAGGCCAGAACCTCTCCCCAGTGCTGCCCATTTTGTTGCCTGGCCCCAGGGCCCGGCGAGGGCCCCCGCAGGCCGAAAACGGCCAGAGACCTCCCGCCGTGACTGTTTCACGATCTGCGACGCAGACGTCCGACCTCGTGATCTTTTCGCAACTTCGACCCCCCAGAGATCTGGACCCCTCTCGCGGACCAGCTTCTCCTCCCGAGCCGTTCTCCCACGCCCCCGAGGCCCCACGAGGGCCTCCGGAGGCCGAAAAAACAGCGAACCTCGCCGCGCCGTGACTTTTCACACCGCGAGGGGGGGTCCGCGAGACGGCTCCGCGCTCTGCGAGCCCGCCCGGGCCCAGTTTGTGCTCTGGCCGGCGAGGGCGACGCCGGGCTCCTCGACCCTGCGGAGACCCCCGCCGGCCGCGCGCGGCGGGCGGCCAAGCTGCACGGCAGGCTGGGCGGGGCGCTGCCCCCGGGCTGGGCGCGGGCGGTCGCCCGCCTCGAGGAGGTGGTCGCGCACGAGGTGCCGAGCCGTGGCGAAGGGTCCCGGCTCGCCCGCGGGCCCACGGGAGAGGAGTGTTCTGAGTGAGAGCCTGCTGCAGTCTGCGGCAGGTGCTGTTCGAGCATGCCTGGCCGAGACGGTCTTCTTTGACTGGCTGGCCGCTTTGCGGTTGATCGGGAGTTTTTGTATACATATATATGTATATATAATATATATATACACATGTATCTATATATAGTATATATACATATTATAGACATATACATATACATATATACATATATACACACATATATATATGGAAGAAGGGGCGTGCGCTTCTCGGCGGGGGGAACATGATCGAGATGAGAATGAGCGTGAGGATCAGGAGGGCGAGGCTCGCGAGGGGGAGGATCAGGAGAGTAAGGGTCACGCGGATGAGGATCAGGCGAGCGTGGAGCGGGAGGGCGAGGATGGGGAGGAGGGCCAAGAGAGCAAGGATGGCGAGAATGAAAGTCTGGAGGGTGGGGATCGGGCGGGCGTGGCGCCCCCCGCTGCCATGCTGGCGGTCTCCACCTTCTCCTTCTTTTCCTTCTCCTCCTCCTCCTCCTCCTCCTTCTCCTTCTCCTCTTTCTCTTCATCCTCTGCCTCCTCCAACTCTCCTTGTCCTCCTTCACCTCGCCGTCCTCCTCCGTCTCCTCCTTTCCCTCCTCGTAGGGATTTCCCAGATCTCGCCCGAAACAGAAGAGGGGCCTCTGAGGGCCTCCTTGGGGGGGCTCCAGGAGAGATTTTCTGAGGATGTCCCACGCGAGGGCGCCGGTTTGGAATTCGTCACCGGATTCGCCAGATCTCCCTGGAATGCAAGAGTGTCGTGTCTATTCGACCGCACGGTTCCCTGACACTCTTCGTTCATTCACGAGGCGCGCGCGCGTGTTTATTTTGATGTGTCGCGTAAACTGTGAATTGCAAAGCTTCGCGGCTGTATGCTGTATGTTGTGAGTGTCTTGGAAATAGACATGCTTAGACTTTAGACACGTTTTAAGCCGTTTGTGCATGTTTATTGTTTTAACCAATGAGTATACACGTTTAGACACTTCGTCTCGGAAGATGAGACACGAGTGCATTTCAGACACGGCTAGACACGTTTAGGCATGGTCAGACACGTTGAGACGCGTTGACTTAGACACGGGTAGACACGGGAAACGCAAAGACGCGTTTAGACATGAAAAAGACACGCACCGAACCACGCAGATATTGACAACATAATAACCAGACATGCGCGAATGAAAGTCGGGCAGTGATTTGCCCTGCGGGGGACGTCGATGGCACAGCAGTGCCACGAAACAAGTTCGGGCATGTAACATATATGGGATTGCGGGCATCCAAACGAAATGCAGGTAGCCGGGAGGATGGAGTTGGGGGGTAGGGAGGAAGCGGGGCGATGGGAATTAAGAAGAAGAAGAAGAAGAAGAAGGAGAAGGAGGAAGAGGAGGAGGAGGAGGAAGTGTAGGATGGAGAGAGAGAGAGAGAGATCATGGTTGTCAGTACGTCTCAAGAGAGATCGCTGTTTTCCGACAGCTGGAAATGGGACCGGAGTTTTTTCTAAAAGGAAATCGCCAGCCGAATCGCGACCTTCTCGCTGCAAAGATAAATTTCCCCGATCCTCCCCCAGCTCCTGCCCCTGCTGCTGCTGCTGCAGATGTTGAGTTCTCACTATTGAAGAAAAGTTTATTGTTGATCCCCCCTGTCTGGTGCACATGGTATTTTTTCAATTGAAGTGCCCCTCCTGGCGCTCGCACTCTGTTTTTTAATATCAGGGAAAGTCTTCCTCCTCAAAATATGCCCTTGGCCTCTGGTTTACATCAACAACGGTTCCCGCTTGATACTTCCTCGAAATTTACTCCGGCCCCCCGCTCCCGCTTGAGACTTCCTCGCAATTTACTCAAGAATCGCGCTCCCGCCTGAGACTTCCTCGCAAGTTACTCATGCGCCGCGCTCTTGCCATTCAGGAGTCGCGCGTTCGCTGGGGACTTCCTCAATTTACTTAGGAATCGCTCTCTCGCTGGAAGCTTCCTGGCTAATCACGCAGAAGTCACAAATAATATATACCCACCAGAAGTGGCATGACCGAAGACGAAAAGGGCGGGTATCGAGGGTTCGGGAACTGCACGCTGAATGACACTCGAGCAGGTAAGAGCGAACAGTCTTAAACTGATTGTTGTTGTTGCTGCTGTTGCTCCTCATCCTCCTCCTCCTCCTGAGGCCCCCCCTTCTCCTCCTCTTCCTCCGCCTCCTCCTATTTGTTCCTCTATCATCTTTCACCGTTCGGTCGACAACACAGCAAAGGGCGATATCAGGCACAGTCGGAGCCAGATGTTCATGCCAAGTTTTTGGCACCTTAATGTGTGTGTGTGTGTTCCAAAGCATGGCGTGTTGTGTATTTTTATTAGACACGTTTGCACACGAAATAGACATGCGAAATTCTGAATGTTTCGACATGTTTAAACATTTTAAAACTCGGCGGAATAGGCATGACAACATGTTATAGACGTTGCTTTAAACATAGACGCGTTTAGACACTCGAGCACGCCGTGCAGGCGAGAGCGCCGCGCTTCTACTCTTGTCTATACTTGGTTGTTTTAAACACTCGAGCACGGCGCTCGAGCGGGAGTGCCGCGAGTCAAACGCAGAATAGAGACGTCTTCCGGGGCTCGCCGGAAACGGTTCACAGGCGGGATTCGGAGGGTTCCGTTTTTCTGAGGATGTCCCACGCGAGGGCGCCGGTTTGGAATTCGTCGCCGGGTTCGCCGGGTCTCGCCCGAAACAAAACATGGGGGCCTCTGAGGGCCTCCTTGGGGAGGCTCCAGGGGCGGTTTTTCTGAGGATGTCCCACGCGAGGGAGCCGGTTTGGAATTCGTCGCCGGGTTCGCCGGATCTCGCCGGAAAAAAAAAATCTTTGCGAAGGACCCAACCATATGCAGTTGTGCGTACCGCAATTGTGAAAATCTTCGGTGGAACTCCCTATGGGGCCACGAAGCGCTGCACTGGGTGGGGGGGAACGCTGTTCTGGGTGAGTGGTGTGTCAAGTAAGGTTTCCGGGACGCATGCGGACGGTCCCACTGGGGGTTTCGGTGGGGCTCCCTGTGGGGCCACGAAGCGCTGTACTGGGTAAGTGAAAATGCCAAATTGGGCTTCCGGGACGCATGCGGACGGTCCCACTGGAGGCTTCGGTGGAACTTCCTATGGGGCCACGAACCGCTGTCCTGGGTGGGTGAAAATGCCAAATTGCGTTGCCGGGACGCATGCGGACGGTCCCACTTGGGGCTTCGGCAGAGCTCACTAATGGGCCACGAAACGTTGTGTTGGGTGGGTAAAAATGCCACGTTGGGTTTTCGGGACGCATGCGGACGGTGGCACTGGGGCCTTCGGTGGAGTTCCCTACGGGGCCACGAACTTTTGGAGTGGGCGGGTGAAAATGCCACAATGGGTGTTTCGGGACGCTTGCGGACGGTCCCACTGGGGCCTCCGGTGGAGCTCCCTGTGGGGCCACGAAACGCTGTACTGGGTGGGTGAAAATGCCACATTGGGTGTGCGGGACGCATGCGGACGGTGGCACTGGGGCCTTCGGTGGAGCTCCCGGTGGGGCCACGAAACGTGCAATGGGTGGGTGAAAATACCAAATTGGGTTTTTCAGGACGCACTCGGACGGTCCCCTTGGGGGCTTCGGTGGAGCTCCCTATGGGGCCACGAAACGCTGTACTGAGTGGGGGGGGCGCATGTGGACGGTGGTACTGCGGCCTTCGGTGGAGCCTTCGGTGGAGCTCCCTATGGGGCCACGAAGCGCTGTACTGAGTGGGGGGGACGCATGTGGACGGTGGCACTGGGGCCTTCGGTGGAGCTCCCTATGGGGCCACGAAGCGCTGTACTGAGTGGGGGGGACGCATGTGGACGGTGGCGGGCCTTCGGTGGAGCTCCCTATGGGGCCACGAAACGCTGTACTGAGTGGGGGGGACGCATGTGGACGGTGGCACTGGGGCCTTCGGTGGAGCTCCCTATGGGGCCACGAAACGCTGTACTGAGTGGGGGGGACGCATGTGGACGGTGGCACTGGGGCCTTCGGTGGAGCTCCCTATGGGGCCACGAACGCTGTACTGAGTGGGGGGGACGCATGTGGACGGTGGCACTGGGGCCTTCGGTGGAGCTCCCTATGGGGCCACGAAGCGCTGTACTGAGTGGGGGGGACGCATGTGGACGGTGGCACTGGGGCCTTCGGTGGAGCTCCGAATGGGGCCACGAAACGCTGTACTGAGTGGGGGGGACGCATGTGGACGGTGGCACTGGGGCCTTCGGTGGAGCTCCCTATGGGGCCACGAAGCGCTGTACTGAGTGGGAGGGACGCATGTGGACGGTGGCACTGGGGCCTTCGGTGGAGCTCCCTATGGGGCTGCGAAGCGCTGTACTGGGTGGGTGAGACGTAGGGAAGAGGGGGAGGGGGGAGGAGGAGGGAGGAGGGGGAGGAGGAGAGGAGATGAGGAGGAAGAGGAGAAGGAGGAGGAGGAGGAGGGAGAGGAGGAGGAGGAGGAGGAGGAACGCGGGGACCGTCTCTTCAAAACGAGTACCCAACAACACAGGTTGGTTGGGAACAAGCGGGGCCGTCGGAGGGGCCATCACCTCGCGCGCCGGGGGTCAGGATGACGTGAATTCCACAGAAGCTCCTTCAAAACACATCGGGCTCGTGGTCTAAGGGAGTTGTATGTTATGTCAGACACGTTTGGGTTCTAAGAAAAGAACATGTCGTGGTGGGCCTCGAGGACTGCCGGGGCGTTCGGTCCCTGCTCGAAAGGTGGGGCAGCTGCTGGAGCGCCTGCGCTCCGAGGGCGCCCCGCCGCAGGTGCGCGGCGAGGCGCTGGAGCCGATGGCGCGGCTGCAGGCCGAGCTGATCGAGGCCGCCTGGCAGCCGGAGGGGCCCTGCGAGGCAGCGCTGGCGCGCCTGCGGGGCTGGCTCGCCGACGGGCTCGGGGGCGGCCCGTGTCCGCTCCTGGTGAAGCAGTTCGCCTGCCACTTCGCCATCTGGCAGAAGGAGCGGGGGTGGACAGACCTCCTACCCTGACACGTCGAGTAAGGAATTGGCCGTTTTCGGTTCGCGAGAGGGCATCGCGGCCGTCCTTTTGCGGGTCCAGGTCCGTCGGTTTCGGTCCCAGGCCGTTTTCATTAAGGGGAGGTTTACTGAAGGGAGGTCTGTCCACCGCCGAAAGGAGCTGGCGGCCGCGGCCCCGGGCCCGCCGCTGCGCATCGACGACATCGTCGAGGGCCACGTCAGGGAGCTGGTGGCCGTGGCGGCGGGCGCCGGGCTGCAGAACCCGCTGGAGGGCAACCAGGTCGAGCTCATCGCCGAGCACACCGCCGCTCTCTCGCAGGAGCGGCGGCTGGACGCCTTCGCGAGCCTCATGCTGGCCGCCTGCGCCTGGAAGGGCCGGGCCCCGAGCGGCCCGCAAGGGGACGAGCTGCCGGCCATCAGGCAGGGGCTGCTGACCCAGTGCTTGAGGGCGTTCTGGGCGCGGTTCCCCCAGGAGGCCTTCGCCCTCCTGGCAATCCTGGCGCGCAAGGTCCTGCGCGTCGGTGAGGGGCTCGACGAGGAGGTGAGCATCCCAGACGTGGGCCCGGTCGGCGCGGCGGCGGTGTGCCCGTCGGAGATCAGCCTCGTCCTGCACTGCCTCACGGTCTCCTGGCTCCTGCTTTGCGACCAGGCTTGGAGGGCGCCAACTATATACTTTCACACGCACAAACACACACACACACACCAAACACACACATGTACGCACGCTCACACACGCAGACACACACACATACACACATCCACACATCCACAAACACACACAAACACACAAACACACAAACACACAAACGCATCCACATCCACAAACACAAACAAACACAAACACACACACACACACACACACACACACACACGCGCACGCACGCACGCACGCACGCACGCACGCACGCACACACACACACACACACACACACACACACACACACATGCACACACACACACATACACACAGACACACACACACACACACACACACACACACTTACACACATACACTTACACACACAAACACACACACACACGCCGACCTTGGCCAGAGTCAGACGGGGCAAGGACGAGGATAAATCCGTTCCAGAGCGTTCCAGAACGCTCTCAGAGCGTTCCAGAACGCTCTCAGAGCGTTCCGGAACGCTCTGAGAAGGCCGCGGCGAGGCCGCGGCGCCCGAGTCATCCTCCAGACCCGCCAGATCTCAGAGCTTTTCGATTGTCGGCCACGCGCAGAGGGGGGTAGGGGGAGGGGGAAGGCTTCTCAGAAGCAGTCTCTAAGAAGCCTTCCCCCCTCCCCCTACCCCCCTCTGCGCGCCGCCAAGATTGATCCTCACCCGAATTGATCCCCGCCTTTGGCTTCGTGCTACCCAGGCTCCTGGCCAGGCCAAAGTGCACCCATCCTGGGCCCAGGAGGGGCCCGTGCAGGACCAGCGTACAGCTGCGAGGGGGGGTGAAGGAGGAGGAGGAGGAGGAGGAGGAGGAGGAGGAGGCGGAGGAGGAGGAGGAGGCGGCCCATCCTGGGCCCAGGATGGGCCCCTGCAGAGGGGGGTGCCCTCCCCCAGGCCGCAGAGCCCGCCGTGGTGCAGGCGGCCCTCTCCGGGCTGCGCCTGGTGCTGGGCGCCGGGCCCCTCGAGGAGGCCGAGGCCCGGGGCCTCCTGGCCTCCGCCGAGGGCTTCGGCCGCCTCGCCCTCGAGCGGGTGGTGCTGCCGCTGCTCGTGGACAGCCTCCTGGTGCTCGCCGCCGCCGCGCCCGAGGGCGCCGTGGAGGTGCTGCCCGCGCTGCAGGAGTCGGGGCTGTGGTGCGACGCCCGGGGCTGCGGCGCCCGGTGCTTCGAGACGCTCGCGGAGCTCGAGTGGCGCCCGCGGCGGGCAGAACCCGCGGGGAGAGGGTCGGGGCCTTGTGGCTGGCGTGTCGTGCTGCCGGTGCTGGCCCACCGCACCTGGGCGCGACACGCGATCCACGTCGCGGCCCAGTGCCCCGAGCCTTTCCCAGCCTCCCGCCCTGCGGAACGGAGCGACACGCGATCCGCTCGCAGGGCATAGCGTGTCGCCGCGGCCGCCGCCGCGACACGCTGAGCCGAAGTGCCCGACTGTAATGTAGAATGAGGGTCAAGAAATGCCCACAGGGCCCTGTCGCGCAGCAGCGCTCTGGGCGATGAGTCGCGCGGTGTGTTCCGGCGCCGCTCGTGGACGTGGTCGTCAGTTGTCATTGGGACTCGTTGATCGTTCTCCTCACAATCAGGCCTCCCCCGGCATACAGCTATGGTGTTGGTAATTCGTGCCTACACTCGTGAAATTGGGCCCACGTGCGGTTTTTTCCCGAAGAAGGAGCAACGGTGCACATATGCAGACTTTGGAAGGTCCGCGCGGACTTCTTTGGTTCGCGCAGGACCCACCTCCCCGGGCGCACGGCGTGCGCCATGGGCGGTGCTAGAGGCGCTGCCAGGGAGGTCCACCGCCGATCCAGGGAATCTGCGCGGACAGCCGAGAGCTATGCTCAGAGCGTGCATTACCTACCCCACTTTCGCTTCCAGGCAAAACCAAGTTATACCACGCGCCTCCTCGTCAAGCGGCCTGACCAGTACAGGCCGTAGTTTGGCATCGCTTGGTATCTCTTGGAAGCGAGGGTGGTCAAAAGCGAGGTAGGTTTGTTTGCCCCCTGCTTACGCTGTTCCTGTCCCGCGACTACAGGAGCGAGGCAAACCGGCACCGCCAGCGCAGGTCAGAGAAGCTGTGGCGGAAGCACGGCCCCCGAGGGCTCGACCCCTTCCTCGGAGGCGGTTTTTTGACGCGGCCCGCGGGAGGCTCCAGGAGACCGGGGAGAGAGACCGCTGGGGCTGGACGAGGCCACGATGTCGGAGGTCTGTGCGCCAACGACTCGATCCCTCTTTGGGCCCCGCAACGAATATTCCTCACGCTTCGCGTGATTATCCCCACAGTTTCGCGCGTAGCCCGCCCGATTCTTGACGCTGCTGGCGCGCTCGCCTGCGGCCGCGACGAAAAAGTGATGATCCCCACCTTTTCCCTTACCTTGTGTCACGGCCTGCCCCTGCTGGCACGGCGTTCGACCCGCTTCGCGCGCCCGCGTACCGGAAGTAATTATCCCCACCAGCCCATTCATGGACCCTGGCCTTGAGAGTTGCCAGGGAAAGGGACGAAGGGAATCATCGAGTGAAACAGAGCGAGCAGCTAGGGTGAACAGAGAGATCTCTGGCAGCAAGGGGGTGGCCTTGGAAGGCCTCTTCGGACCATCCATGGGGGCCGCGTGGGGGCGAGGGGGGCCGTCTTGGCGCCCTCTTAGGGCCCCCTTGGAGCCCTCGCGGGGCTCTCTTGGGGCTCTCTTGGGAGCCCTGGAGCGCCTCTTGGGGCAATCTTGGAGGCTATCGATCCAAGGAGGAGGGGGGAGTCCAGATCTAGGTCCCCCCCTGGGGCCCTCAAGACCGCCTCTTGGGACCCTCTTGGGTATTGGGGCCATCTTGGGCGTCTTGGGCGCCTCTGGGGCCTCTCTCGGGGCCTTCTTGGGCCATATTGGGGCCATCCTGAGGCCCCCAAAGCGCATCGGAAGCGAAACGGCGAGACAGCGCACATCATACATTTTCCTTTGATGTTTGACAGATTTTGAGCTCCTGGGGGGGTCCTGAGGGGTCGCCGAGAACACTTGGAACCCTCTTGTGGCCCTATTGGAGCCTCTTGGAGGCATGATGGAGGTCATCTTGAGCGATCTTGCGCTACCTTGAGGCGTCTTGGAGGCTATCTTTGAGCATCGGAGGCCCTCTTGGAGCCATCTTGCGCGAAAACGGGCCCTCTGATGACTCGCGGCCCCTCCCCAAAAAAGCCCTGGGAGGGGAGGGGGAGGGTACCCCTGCCCAAAGGGAAGAGAGGCTTCTTTGGAAGAGGAAGGAAGGAGATCGTTAGACCACCTACGTCCAGAGGGCTGTTGGGATTTTTGGGCGCTCCAGTGGCAATGCGCAGCAGATCTGAGCGCGCGCCCCCGTGAAGCCGTGCGCGGCCGAGGACTGGACGCAGGGACCACTGTTTTGCTGCCGCACCCGCTCTCTCTCTCTCTCTCTCTCTTTCTTTCTTTCTCTCTCTCTCTCTCTCTCCCTCCTCCTCCTCCTCCTCCTCCTCCTCCTCCTCCTCCTCCTCCTCCTCCTCCTCCTCTCTTCCCCCTCCTCCTCCTCCTCCTCCTCCTTCTTCTCCTCCTCGTCCTCTGTTCCTCATCTTCCCCCTCCTCTACTCCTTCTTCTCCTCCTGTCTGTTTCCCTCTCCCTCTCTCTCCCCCGCCCACGTGCCGGTGCGGAGCGGGGAGGCTTGGTATAAAATCGGTTGGCAGCGGTTGTTCACGGCCCCAGGGTCCAGCAAGGACACCCTGGACCGAAAGGTGATCGACACGTTCCGTCGTCGCGAGTTGCTGTCTCGACGCCAGGGGTCTGGGCTCCCAGCCCTGGACCAAAACGGGTCCCCAGACCCCTCCCTGGTTCCTTCCAGATGAGTTTTTCGAGCTGAGTTCGGCAGTGGCCTGGGGGGCCTCCAGGAACGCCCAAGAACTTCGAACCAAAAACATGTGGACCAGAGGGAACGAGTAGACGCCAGAAGTGGTGGTACACCATATGGCCTCCACCTCGTGTGGCTTTATTGCAATACTCATGGCGCTGGTTCCCAACCTAGGCTCTGCCTAGAAGGCTTCTGACTCGGTATGCTTAAAGGGCCGGGCAGTGGAACCCGCCCCGGGCGGTTCCCCCTGGATCCGCCCCGCGGTTCCCCCAGTCCCTTGGGAGCTTTAGCTTTAAGTTTAGCTGTAGCTTAGATGTAGCTTAGCTGTAGCTTTAGCTTTAGCTTAGCTTCAGCTTAGCTTTATATTAGCTTTATATTAGCTTTACCCTATCGTCAGCTTAGCTTTAGCTTAGCTTTAGTTTAGATTTAGCTTAGCTTTAGCTCAGTTTCAGTTCAGCTTCAGCTTAGCGTCAGCTTAACTTTAGCTCAGCGTTAGCTGAGCTTTAGTTTAGCTTTAGCTTAGCTTTAGCTTAGGTTTAGTTTAGCGTTCGCTTAGCTTTAGCTTAGCTTTAGCTTAGCGTTCGCTTAGCTTTAGCTCAGCTTTAGCTTAGCTTTACTGTTAATACTAATGCTGCTTTCCTAGGGGCTCCAACTCTTAGGTAGGGTCGCACTGGGATAATTCTCTTTGTACTTTAGCCTGGTCTGCCCCCCCCCCCCCCCACAGATCTCCCTCACGCGTGCGTGATTTGTTATGGGCCATGCTGGATCCCCGCGCCCAGGATTTGAATCGTCCCCTCTCCCCCCCTTCTCTTCCTCTCCGGCGGCGTATAAGCAGATCGACCGGCCCGCTACATACTTACGAGGTGAACACCGATTGCCTCACACGTGAGGCCAAAAACTCTGACGGCACTGGAGCCACCATTCGTTGCCAAGCCCAGTGCATGCCTGACATTTGCTATCTGGGCGAGCTCTCAGCATGCCGGCCACTTTGCGAGGGCACGGCCTCGCCCACTCCATTCTTCAGGGGGCCCCGGGCGATACCCCGAACAAGCGTTCCGTTCCTTTCCCCTTCCTGGCCCTCCCTCTCTCTCTGTCCCTCTTCCCCCAGGTTTCCAATGTCGTCATGGTTTCTCAACGTTGGCACCGCTGGTCTAGACCAATTCCTGGCGCGGCTTCTCATCCCGAGCCCTCTTTCGGCGGCCCCAGGGCCCGGTGAAGGTCACCAGGGCCGAAATTAGAGAACAACCCTCCATTGTTTTTTCCAGCAGCGCCAGGAGGTGGGGGTTTCTCCGACTCTCGCCATCTCTATCCCTCCCTCCCTCATCCTCTCTCCCCTCCAGCTTTTCCTCCTCCTCCTTCTCCTCCTCCTTCTCCTTCTCCTCCTCCTTCTCCTCCTTCTCCTCCTTCTCTTCCTCCTCCTCCTCCTCCTCCTCCTCCTCCTCCTCCTTCTCTTCCTCCTCCGAGTCGCACGGCCCAGGCATTGATGCCCCGGCGGCTGCACGGGAAGCGGCGAGGGCAGGGCGGACCTCACAAGCTTGAAAGCAAGGCCTTGACCCGCCCGATGCCGAGCTTAGTCTCTCGACTCCATACTCATTGTTTGATTTCTTACTCTCACGCTGCTGCTGCTGCACCTAGCAGCAAGGATCGCCAGGTCGTGGCGTCTGAGCAGCAGGTTGTGTGCGGGGGTGCAAAGCGTGTTCATGCAAGCATTGTGCTGGAATCCCCTGCCGGCTTCAGATAGAGACAAGGAGTTGGAAATAAAGAGCGGCGTCGCCAATATTGACATACTGGTTCTTATTGGCACCCAAACCCAGCGTGCATGTTCGTTGAGTACGCCAGATCATGTTGAATATCTCCCGGTGCTTCGGGCACTTCAGTGCCAGTGTTTCAAGGTCGTTCAGAGCCGGTTGCGCACCACGGGGTCATGCTCCAATTGATGCGGCATCGCATTCCATCTCAACAAAAAGACGGTGAGGGCAAGAAACGCGGTTCGCATCTGGACAGTTCCCATCGACATCTGACTGAGGGCGGCCGCGATCAGAGTGAAATCGCAATACGGAAACAGCACAGCTGTCGCATTATACTTCCCGCCCAGATCGCGGGGCCCCGGAGACCAGGTGCAGCTGACGGCTACCATCAACCGTGTTCATGGTGTTGGTCAAAGTGTCCTGTCGTCGTTGCCGCCTCGTAAATTCCCATTAGTTGTCTCGGACGTCAACGATGGCTCGGGTCTCGCGTCGGGCTAGGGCGTCGCAGTACAAGTCGACTCTGATTCTGGGGGGCCTCTCACCAGGCGGGCACCTCGACGCGTGAGATGGCGGCATCATTCGCTTCATCAAACCCCTTGTGAGTTTTGGCCCCT